AAAAATAAAATGTTGTAAAAACAAAAACATATATACTATATTTAACATTTTTCAAAAGTTTAAGGGGCACATGTCCACAGAGAAAAAGAACTCTATTAGTTTAGTTAATGTCAAGTAAACCATTTTGAAACAAAATTGATAGTTTATAGATCATTTTGAAAAAAAAATGGTTCTAAATTAAATTAAAATAAATCACATAGTTAATAAACTATTTATTAAATTTAACCATTATTTTACCATAATTGTTATAAGAGTACTCTATTTTATTATTTGAATTGTATTAAATTAAAAAAATAAAAATTATCAGATAAAGGGGGTGGGGACAACACTTAATATAAGGGGTTGCCTGCTGGCTTCCATCTAATATTTTAACTTATGCAATTTTATAAATATTAAAAAATAAAAGTTTTAAATTAAGTATAATTAATTAATTACTAAATTGCCATGGGTAAGTTTGTTAGAGATTAGAACCGATACCAAGCCAATTAAGTTAGTTTGCATTGTCAGTTTGTCACCATCCATACCAGTTAAATTCATCGGGTCAGTTTTGATTGGTTTTTATCGAATAGGATTGATTTGGTTAAGTTCAATCAAACTGATTCGGTTTGAACACTCTTAAGTTATTCTTGTTTTGTCATCTATTTCGCTTGATATATTATTTTTGTTTCTATTTTTGTCTTCTATTTAAATAAATAATTAATATTTTTTATATTAACTTCTCAGTATTCAAAAATTATATTAAATTTTAATTAATTTGAAAATAAATTGTGTCAGATCTTATAAAAAAAGAAACCATCAATATTTATTTTTTTATTCATAAAATTCAAATTTGATATCTTATTTAAGAAAAAGTAAACTCCTTCTGTTCAGATTACTAATAAATAGTTGGTAAATAAAAAATTAATAATTGCATTAGAGTGATTACTTGCATTATTGGAATGACTAATTAGTTGGTCGGATTATCGCCAAAAAAAAGAAGGATTGTTTAATCGGATTTGATGATCGGCCTAGTCTAATATTTGGTTTTGCCAGGAGAGGAAAGTAGAAGGGAATCAAGGTTGTTGGGTTTCGGCCTTTTAGGTTCTCCAACTAGGCTGGACCTTACTTGGGCGGATTCTATTGTTATTCCCTGTCTAACTTGATTCCGGACCAAATAGCAAACAGGCAAAACAAGGAATAAAAGGCAAAGTAAATTATAATATAGTTATAATATTATATAAAATTATAAATTTATGATTTTAAAATATTATTAAATGTATGAATATATATAATTTTATAAGTAAATTAATAAATAAAATAATTATATAATGACATATTAAAATTATAACTCTACAATGCCTTTTAATATTATAACTATATCATTTATAATAAATAAATAATAAAGAGTAGACTAAAATGAGAGAGAAAGAGGAACATTAATAAATGATTTTTATTTTTTAAGAACATAATTGGTATTTTTGTAATTAAATAAAATTTAATGAATAAAATAATTGTAATTATAATATATCCTTGTCATCGTGTGGCCTTGGACACGTCAGCAAACTCTTTTCTCGGTAAGACAAAGTTAACGGAGGCTAACAATGCAATGTGCCACGTCAGCTTTTCCGTCCACATTTAGCATATTTGCGTCAGTTTGTTAATTTAGGGAGGACTTTGTCACGGAATAAACTTTTGAGTTGGATATGCCAGTAAAAATTATGTACAGGAGCTTATTTGTTTATTATTCTACAAAAATACAATAGTAATGATGCGACATAAATATTGTACATTTACAATTATGAGGTGTTTTAAATTTGAAAAAATATATAATATTATAAGTAGATTATTAAATTAAAAATTAATTATATAATAATATTTTATAAGAATATTGTATATCAAGCCTCTTAGTAACCGTGTATTTGTTGAAAAAATAAATGTAAAATTTTTTTTTTGTAAGAACAAAATTGAATAGATTAAAGGAAACAAAAGAGACCAATCATTAATGTTACTATCAAAAGAAAGGGGATACATTTTTAGTCATACAATTTAAAATTTAAAAAAGTTATTTTAAAAATTCAAATATTATATTAATTGTTAGTTTTAAAATCATTAGTAATTGAAAATTGATGTAATACTTTCACCAATATAAATTCATCCTAACTTTTACCAACAATAAGATAAAGTTATTTTCAAATAGCAAGCAAGTTATCTCCAGCTTAAACTTTTTTTTTTTGGCTACAAATTGACAGAGCGTAAACTTCACTAATTATTATGAGAATAGCCTTTTTTAGTCTTCCTTTTTAATCAACATTTTTTATTGAAAGCAGCATAAGTTGCTTCTTTACTTTTTCCTGCAGTCCTCAAACATTTTAGTAGTCGGCGAAATAATCTGTCTTTCGAGGAGTTACCACCCAAATATATATATTTTTTAGAAAACCTGAATTTTTTCTCAGAAAAAAAAATGTAAAGATTAAGTAACAACCCAAGAATACTCTTTTCCTTTTATTCTACCTGCCACCTTCTTTTTTACTTTTTATTCCAATTTCCCTCCTTTTCTTTTTCTCTCTTTCGCTTCCTTTTGATCAGAACAGAACCAAGGCAACAGGCGAAGAACAACCAAAACATAAAGTCTGAATAAGACCATAAAATTTCCGAATCTGATTCATATTTCATCCCTTTAGTATTGATATTATGCTGTGTTCAACATAAGTAAATAACAAGCACAATAAAGGCGATCCTCCAATACTGTATTCAGCAAGAAGTAACGGTATAATTAACTTTCTGCAACATAAATAGTTTCTCTATAGCAACAGATTTTTGATGTACTCTTCCCGTCTTAATTAGTACCTTAAATTATTCCCGTTAATTCCTTCTTTCCTTCTTTATTTTTGTCCTTTTTTTTTTTTTTTTTTTTTTTTTTTTTCATATTTTAGATTGTATAATAGAATAT